CACACATGCACCCTGCTCCCTTCACTCCTGCTCCCCAACATGCGGTAGCTGATCTTTTTTTAACACTACACACACACGCACGCATGCGCACACACACACACACTTACTTTCCTGTTATGATAGAGAGTATCTTCTCAGCATAGAGTAGGGAAAGGCAGGCTAGATATTACTCAGACCACCTGGATGTTTTGAAATGATCAGGTTTGGATAAGGTTCATCTTAGAGCTTTCAAAAAACCAGCTGAGGTAATTTCGGAGTGACTGCTTATTATTTTTGAGAGCTCATGGAGATCAGATCCACAAGACTGGAAAGAGGCAAATATAATGCCTAATTTTCTAAAAGGGAAAAAGGAAGATCCAGGGAATTACAGACAGGTCAGTCTAACATTGCCATCTTGATGACATACTGGAGTATTTTTTATAAAATTATTTCTAAGTATATGGTGGATAACAAGATAAAGAACAGTCAATACAGATTTGTCAAGAGTCTTCAGGTTCCAAAAATGTATTAAAGAGGCTAGTTGTCTTTGTCTGCAAGGGAACAGTGCGAGATGTAATGGGCTGGAATTGCAATGAGGAAGATTTAGGTTAGATAATAGGAAGAACTTTTAAGTATGAAGGTGGTTAAGTATTAGAATCGAATCCCTAGAGAGGCTGTAGGATTCCTGTCATTGGAAGCTTTGAAGTACAGTATTTTTAAGTACAACATTAAATACAGCATAAGACAGTGGTTTTCAACCTTTTTATATTTGCGGACCTCTAAAAAAATTTGAAGGGAGGGGCGGACCCTTGTGAGTTGTAAGTCTGGGTATTCACATACTTTTGATTGATCATAGTAATTTTATGCGGATGCCTTAGACAGAGTGTGAGGATGCCCAGGGGTTGCAGATCACAGGTTGAAAGCCACTGGCATAACAGAAGCATTTGTCTGGGCTGGCTTAAACAGAAATGGTCCTACTTTCTGTAGCGGGGTTGGAGTATCTGATGTACCTAGATGTCTCCTAGCACTGTTTTACTATACTTCTGTGAAATTATGGGCTGAAGAGATCTGTGATAAAAATTACAAGATGCAACAAATAAAGAATGACAAGATGCTTTCTTTGCTTTTGGCAAAAAGATCAGACAAATCAAAAAAGATATAAAATAATGATAAAAGAACATCATCCAAAAATATCTTATGAGGGAGGTTTCTAAGAGTACCTTACAAATGAGATTGAGTCACAATGCTTATGTAGCAGGGAAGAGTGAAGTGAGAGTAGAGACATCAAAAGAAGAAAAAAAAATGTGTTGATTCTGCTTCAGGCTACATGAAAGAGACTGAAATAATTATTTGGCATGGATGAGCCTAACGATAGCCATTTCTTTTTCAATAGGTCCAGAAAATGTCCAGAAAATCTTATTGAGATTAGTTGATTCTGAGTTAATCATATCAGTGATATCAAATTAAATTTGTTTTATTAGATCTGCTCACATGAGAGAATTCAGAGGATGAAATGAGCTTACTACTGAGATCTGCTAGACCACAATATGGGGTTGAATGTTTTCCTAGACCCTACACTGTAGGAGAGCAGTACAGCGTGTTGACATTTACCTGCACATGTGCTCATTTACATGTACAGAATCAGGAATTGGGTGCAAAGAGTGAGACTGAGTGTACAGCCTTAGTAGATTTACAGCATTGTGCAGTTCTGTGCTTACTTTACTAGTTAGCTTTGTTGATGGGTAAGTAGGGCATCCTAAATCTGCCTCAGTCATCACTGAAATACTATAGCTACCATAAAACAGTTGCTAAGAATATTGTGTTTATATAGCATTACAGTATTGGATTTGTTCACCAGATTTCAAGCTTCCTTTTGTGGGCATATTTCTACGTACTTTGAACCTAATCCAAGTTCCAGTAAACTCAGTGGGTGTCTTTCCCAGGAGGAGCTGTGCCAGACCTGTTAAGTTTTTTTGGAAAACATCAGTTTTATAAAATTGACATGGTAAGGTGTTCAGGGAGTACTTCAGACATTGAGGTTGCAGATTTTGGTGTATGTATATTTAAATACAAATATTTAGCTGCAAGATGCTTCCTGAAACAGTGGCTTTACTAGGAGAGAAATAAGAGTTGGAGTGATATAATTACTTTGCCATCCAGTATTGCACATCAGGCCAGATTCTATTTCACCTCTGAATGGTGTAGGTGGACTTAAGTACTTGAGTGCAATTTTGTTCCACCCTGCTTGAGTCCCAAAAAATTGCTAATACAAAAGGTGGGTTGGTTCTCCTACTCATTCCTTTTTTGTGACTTAAAGCTAATATGACAGCATGTTACAAAAGTAGACATGTTAATGTATTTTCAGAGATTCAGGCAGGGTGGAATAAAATTGTACTTAGGTACCTAAAGCCACTTATGCACCTAATAGGTGGAATAGAATTTGGCCCATAGTGTGTTTCCTTTCATTTTTATAATTGCATATGGAACATTATGTTGCTTTCATCTTAGACTGTTCTTTTTTTGTTTTCTTATAGTGTGTGCAGAAGCTTACAATCCTGATGAAGAGGAGGATGACATAGAATCCAGGGTATTTAACTTATTGAAAGACTTACTTACTTCTTAGCTCTCATACTTCAGAAATAATAAAAATATGAATAATTACAGTAATTATGAGACCAACCAGTTTAACTATTATTTTTCAAATGCTTCCTTATTGTCGTGTCCCTCGATAGTATGGAAGGCTGTTCTGAAAGACATTGATCCCTATAATAGTGTTTATGTGGGACCCAATTTTTAAAATACTCTGATTAATTATGCCTATATACATTGTCTCTTAATGAGAACTTTTTTAATATTTGCCTAAAGTCTCTTCTCTTAAGGTACTTTAAGGAATGCGAGTTCATATCCTTAACTGAGATAGATCAATATTCTTTTCTAAGGTAGAGCATCAATAGTTCATTCTGATACTGTGAAGCCTCCTATTTACCGTGTGAAAAGAATTATGTAAATTAACCCATATCTGATGCATAACGTGGAAAATTCTTTGGAAAAGACTTGTAGGAAATAGAACACAATTTTTAATGGTCAAACATTTGGTGTTACCTCTAAACTAATATGCTTGAAGCATGTTCAGAGAACATTAGAATTTTGTTTTGTATCATAACGTTTGAATTTAAGGTATCCCAAAAGAATGCAAAAAAATAGATTAGATTCTAGTGGGATAGTGTCTGTGTACAGAGGTGCCCTGATAAAGATTTTTTGAGCTGATACTAGTGGCCAATTATTAACGAACCATATTGACTGATGGGGTGTCTATGGCAAATTTTGGAGCAGCTGTAGCCCGCCCTTCCCAGCACCATGACCTCTGCTCAGCCTGAGCACAGCCCCAGCCCAGCCCCCTTCTGGGAAGAGCCCAGCATCACTGGCAGCCCTGAGTGCACAGTGGGAAGCCCACCCTTGCCCTGTGCACAAATCCGGGGGCACGTACCCCCCATGCCTCCCACGGGGGTGTGTGCAGCGGTAGGAGCTGCCTCCCCTGCACCCCCGGATGAGCCCCTCCTGACTCCATCCCATGCCTCACCTTGCCTAGGCAGTGCCTGCCCCAGCCCTACTCTCTTCCTCACTTGTGGAGGCCTCAATCTACACCCCCATACCTCTTCCCTCCAACAGATTTACCAGCCAGGTGCTGCTCTCCAAGCTGCCGAGCTGCATTCCTGGCCGTGTGCATGCTGCAGCTGCACCCATGCACACAGCAGTTATTGGCAACCTTACTGGCCACATCAGCCAAATAAGCCGAGTGTTGATAATGTCAATTTTCCTTTTATTGGTGCCAATACGATGTGGACTGATGTATTGGTACAACTCTAACTGTGCAAGTATAAATGTAGTAGTGCTTCACGCTGTTACTGTATTGTCATTAGGTATGTTTTCAAATTCACCAGCCTTTTGATGAAGATGTTACCAAAAGTAACCATGCTTTAATGTAAAATTTCTTAGCAGTCTTAGCTCAGTCTTTCAGTTGCTTGCTATTTTGTGGTGATCATTTTTAAATTTCTGCACTGAAAAAGGAAAATTATACCACAAAATTTCCATTATATCCTCCAGGTTATTCACCCCAAAACAGATGATCAAAGAAACAGATTGCAAGAGGCTTGCAACGACATTCTTCTTTTTAAGAACCTAGATCCGGTAAGATATTTTTTATGCTGAACGAGATTTAAGTGTCAATAAAAAAATTAATCGAATTTGAGCCTTCTATAGAAGATTTTTCAGCAAGCTTAGATCTTGTAAGATAAAAGATTTATTATTGCTTTTCCTGAGTATTTTGTAAACTGTAGTAGGCGTGTTCTTATTACCGAAGGAACAGTATCATATTTACTTGCATACAACATGCACTTTTCCCCAGAAAATCTGCCCCACAAAATTGGGGTGCATGTCTTAAGTGGGGAAGCTGCTTTTCTCTGTTGGAATGGAGGAATGGGAGCCTGTATGGCTGCTGCAGTGGCTGCTGTGCTTCCCTCTCTCTGCCAGCCCAAGAGGGAGGAGCAGAGTTCTCTGTTCAGGGACAAAGCTACAGTGTTAACCCTTTCACAGCCACTGTTGAATTGGCAAGAGACTTTGGCTTCCGGTATCATGAAAATCTGTGACAAACACTGCACTATTTTGCTGTTTAATATCAGGTAATGTTATGCTGATACTGGAGCAAATGAAATCGCTAAAATGATTGTAAAGTGCTTTATCTTGTTAAAAGCTTATTTTAAAAATATTTTATGAGACCAAAAAGTATAAACATAAACACCCATCAATTAATTGAAAATACTTAAGAAAATTACTGGTGCTGTTTTTGATTGTTTGTTTGGTTTTTTAAGTGAATCAAAATGTGGGCTACGACCTCATACAAATGCTCACCCTGACCATATGCCTCCATATGCCAGAGCTTGTGCTGTCTTTCAGCAAGTTAGACTCTAGTTCCAGCTGTTTCTTGTCCATGAGCAGCAGCTTCGACTCCAACTCTTGCTTATTTTGCTAGCTTTTTCTGAATGAGGTCCAGTCACTTCTCCAGTCACTGTATGTTTTTCTGGCATTCTCCACACGTGCTAGTTCTGTTATTCCCACAATCTCTCTCTGTCTTGCTTGTCTGTTTTGGCCTTTGTTGCCTTTTACCTCTCCTGGTCTCACCTGCAACATGAGTGCTTTTCTTGATTCCTTGACTGTTTCTGGAATGCCAGTCATTTTCTGTCTAGCAGGATAACCAGCTGTGTCTTTTAAGCAATATCGAATCTAGCTTCCTTTCTCTGTACAATTTTAGTAGCTTTTAAAAGCTTTTAAAAACTAATTTTTCCTAACTAAACTTTCTTTCTTTCTGAACAGACTAAAGGATACACTGTCTGCTTTCAGTTGAAGAATAGCTGTTTGTTTCCCTCTTACAAAATTACTATATTTTCTTGCATACCACATACCCCCAAATAAAACACACGCTTTGTTTTAGGGAAGGCAGAATAAAAAAGAAGATATTTTCTCAGAGTTATGACATAGTTTCATAGCTTGTAGGGTCAGAAGGGACCTGGGCAGATCATTGAGTCCGACCCCCTGCCATGACAGGAAAGAGTACTGGGGTCAAACAACCCCAGCAAGGTGTACATCTAGCCTCCTCTTAAAGACCTCCAGGGTAGGAGCCAGCACCACTTCTCTTGGAAGTGGGTTCCGATCCTAGCTGCCCTGACCGTGAAGTAGCGCCTCCTGATATCTTACCTAAATCTACCCTCTGCCAGCTTGTGACCATTATTCCTAGTCACTCCTGGTAGTGCATGGGGGAACGGGGACTCCTCCAATGCTTGCTGGTCCCCCCTGACTA